CTGTCTTGCCGGAGACACAGGAGGCTGATGCAGGAGGATCGCGTAGTCGAGGCCAGCCTGCGCAACTCAGTGAGACCCTGTCTCAAAATACAAAATAAAAGGGGCCCGGGCTGTAGTGTGGAGGCCTCCTGGGTGTTATGGGGAGCCGCGTCAAGAAACGCTCAAAGTCCGAATTCAAATCAAAGAGAGCTTTATTCACCTGGTGGGGGACTGCCACCCACTCTAGAGACTGAAGCTGTGTGGGAGAACAGCCTTTTCCTGGCCTGTGTCTTGGGAATTTAAGGACGAAAAACCACAGCTTGGGGACTTTGCTTAGCGTCATGCAAGCAAGCCAGTCATAGACGCTAAGACAGCAATTAGCGCAAGGCAGTGGCATCTTGGGTCCGAGCAGGTGTTAGACACCATATGCTGAGCTCCAGCAGGTGGTTAGTGGGGGCGAGACTCTGGTTCAAAGTTGGTCACCAAGACCACCATATCCTGAATTGAGTACATTTTGTGGGTTACAAAGTTCAGAGAACAATATTATAAGAAATCTGCTTTCGTTTTAGTTTCTCAGAAACAGCTCTTGTAACAGTTTTTGTTTTTCTTAACAGAAGGCAGCAAAATGGAGTCTTAGGCCAGTCTGTGACAGTTCTTGCTTTATCATTGTCTTATCTCACTTATCAAAATCTTACATATCAATAATCTATTTTTTTACTACTCTATAACCTATAACTTACACTCTTACTGATTGTATTTATAGGTTCACACAACAACACTGGGTTCTGCCCTGCACTGCAGAGAGAAAGAGCTCAGGCCCTCAGAGGACTGGCTGTGCCCTAGGCTGGTCACTGGGTGGCCGATGGAGACTTAAACTCTACCAAGGGGAACACGGAGGAAGTCTGTGTTCACCAACAAAATATATGGGCAACTCTGGCCCGTACTTTGCTTTGAGAATCAAAGAATGAAGGTGTGTGTGTGTGTGAATTAAGTAAACTAAACCCCAAGGTGTGTGTGGGGGGGCGGTATCAGAATCTGGCTCTGGACCTTAAGGAGTCTCACTTCAAAAGAGAAAACAAGGAAAACCACCTGAAATCCCAGGTATTTGTGAGGCAGAGGCAGAAGAATCATAAGTTCAAGGCCCACCTGGGCAACTTAGCAAGATCTTGTCTCAAAAAGCTGGGGGTGGGGGCTGGGACTCAGTGGCAAAGTGCTTGCCTGCATGTGTGAGGCCCTGGGTTCGATCCTCAGCACCACATAAAAATAAATAAAATAAAGGTACATCTAAAATAATAATAATAATAATAATAAAAGAGCTGGGATGTGGTTTAGTGGTAAAGGGCCCCTGTGTTCATTTGCCAGCACCAAATAAAGGAAAAAGGTCAAGAATCTGATGTTTTTTCCCCACATATGGTAGCTAGAGAGGAAAAAGGGAAGAAAAGTCTCACAAAAATCAAAGGGAAAGAGTCAAGGGGAGGGAAGAGGGGAAAGACAGGAAAATCCTGGGGGATGATGTTGACCAAATAATATTGTTATATTGTGTGCATGTATGAATATGTAACAGATGGTCCCACTATTATGTATAATTGTAATGCTCCAAAAAGCTTATGGAAAAGAAAAAGAGCCAGACAGGGGATGCACACCTGTAATTCAAAGGACTGGGGAGGCTGAGGCAGGAGGATTGCAAGTTCAAAGTCAGTCTCAGCACCTTAGCGAGAGCCTAAGCAACTTACCAAGACCCTGTCTCAAAATAAAAAATTAAGAAAGAGCTGGGGGTATGGCTCAGTGGTTAGGGTCCCTGGGTTTAATCCTAGTACCAAGAAAGACAGAGTGAGCCTTGGGTTCCCCCTCAGCACTAGACACACACACACGATAAACAGATATTTCTGAATCTTAGGTCTTATTTACACACTATGTCCACCTCTCCTCAGGGAATGAGAGATGATCTAGAAAAATGGGTTTGCAGGTCAAGTTCACAGGCTAGAAGCACCCTGAGAAGTGTGGGCAATTCCGAGGCTGGCTGGGATTGTGACGAATTGCAGCAGGTTCAAATCAGCCCCTGGGTGAGGAACGGTGGCATGAGCTGCACCTCTGGACTGGAGTCAGGAGCATCTTATGGACCGGAATCTAAGACCTGAAGCGGGTGGCCCAGTCGGTAGTGGATGGCAGCACAAGACCTTGCTAGGGAGACTCCTTTGCAGTTTCAGGAGTTTTTAGTCTGTGTACCCGGATACAGTAGTAGGAAGCTGGCCGTTTGGGGGCAGTCAAAACCCAGGCTCTTCTGTTTTTTTCTCAACCAAATGTTTGTCTTAGAAATAGTTTATTAATACCAATGGCAACAGCCCCTGTCCACAAGGGGCTTTAGGCTTTTCTAAGGGCCTCTCACCGGCTGCCAGGCTGCAGCCTCCCAGTCTCCATTGCAGAGGGCTGGGGTTTCTGTCCCTGGGGCCTTGAAAGGCTGAAAGCTGCCGCAGTCCTGGGATGTGGGAGTTTTGCTCTCTAATCTGTTAAGATATTCGGTAGAGATTTTGGGGAGTCTGTCACCTACTGAGTGCCATTCATGTGGCACATGGCAAAACAGTGGGGAGGGAACCTTTTGGGTGGTGGAAGTGTTTCATACTTGGCAGGGACGTGAGCCAGGTGGCTGTTGCATTTGTCAGAATCATGAGTTATTTGCCATCAGTTCACTTCACTGTGAAGCTGGCCTACATGGATGTTCCATCCCAGCTGTGCAGAGCCAGGCCAAGGGCAATAGGGTACTGGGTACACCAGCACACACTTGCTGGTGGGGTGTGGCTGGAAAGACTCCCCCGCAGACTAGATGGCCCAGTGGCCTTGATGCCCAGAGCAGCTGGGGGCACTGTGGAGGGTTTCAGCTGTGTCTGCAGGTAGCAGAGGTGGGTGAAGAGGGTGGGCTGGCACTTCTGGAGTGGGGCTGCTTGGTACTCATGCCGAGGAGGAGCCAGATGCCGTGGTTTCACACCCACCAGCAGGCCGTGGAGAAACTATTCTGGGTGGCTCCACAAAGCGGCTGCTCAAGAAGTGGACAGGCCTCTGCACTGCATGTGGAGCCCTGAAGGAGCCGGAGGTCACATTCTGGAGCTGAGGTGGGAGTGAGGACCTCTGCTGCCTTGCATGCTGCAAGAGCGTGGCTGCTGGAGCAGAGCCTGGCCAGCGGCTCTCCTCCAGGTGTTGCTGCGAAGACCAGCCCAGGTCAGAAACCAGCATCACCCCAGAGGAGTGGACTGAACCTCCCTCAAACTTCCTTTGTTAAGCCTGAGCAGTGCTGGCAGAGGCAGAGGCTCAACAAGATCCCATCTGACTCACCAAGTTCAAACAGTAGCTATTGGTAGCCTGAAAGGCCAAGGACCTAGGGACAGACTGGGAAGGCACACTGCAACCCCCTGCAGAGCTGTGTACAGCGTGGTTGTCCTGAGCTGCCCCAGCCCCAGACTTGCCCTGAGGTATGGTCCTGAGCGGCCAGCTGGAGGTGGGGTCACTGAGAAGCACCCTCTGGGGCTTGGGGTTGGAGGTTGTGGTGGCTGTTCACCTCCCTGGGCCTCGGGGGTGTGCCTGCTCTGTGATCCACAGGGAAGAAGGGCAGTGTGCCATGTGGGGCCTTGGCAAGGAGGTGCTTCCTTCACTCCATTTGGGACAAACTTGTGCAGTCTTGTGAGGGGCACTGAAGGAAGGAAAACTGATCCTTTGCAGCCTTGTACCAGAGGTGGCTGGCAGGCACATTGAGCTCCCAGGCATGCGACCTACCTCCTCTATGTGTGACAGGTCTCACTGTGTGCCCAGGCTGGACACCCAGGCTCAAGTGGTCCCCACACCTCAGCCACTGAGCAGCTGGGGCTCAGGGGCCCGCCCTCTGCGGCACCTGGCTCCCTCTTTCCAAGTTCCAGGCCAGCCTGGTCAGCTTAGCAAGACCCTGTCTCAAAATAAAATTTTCAAAGGGTGGGGGTGTAGCTCAGTAATAGAGCTCTTGCTCAGCATGTGCAAGGCCGCGGGTCCCAAACCTAATACTGCAAAAATAATTAAAAAAGGAAAAGAAGCATCCGTCCAACACTCTGGGGCAGTTGGACACCTTGGTTTGGTGAGAGGTCAGCTAATGGAGAGGTTCATTCTGGGGTTTGCTCCATGTGCCCACCACTGCTCCCAGGTGGAGCCTTGACTCCACATAGCCCTGCTGACCAGTGCTTTTCAGGGACACGCACAGCCCCAAGCCAGCAGGTGGAGTCACTGGTACTCACTTCATCCTGGAGCCTCACCTGAGCCCCACTTTTCTTTCCACACCAATTCAGAGGGAATGGGGGGCCCTGCTCCCTGTGTGGCCTCAAGCTGGACCTGACCAGCTGTGCGTCTCTGACTGACTTGGCACTCTGTCAGCCTGAGTTGCACTGGTTTCTGTTGCTTCCCAAGAGCAGCCAGTGCCTGGTGAGCGAGCAGCCAGCCAGCAGTCATCTTGAGCACTCTGGGGCTCAGACCTCTCTCAGAACTGAACTTGAAACCAATCTAGCTGGGTGCAGTGGCAGCACAGGTCAATAATCCCAGCAACCTGGGAGGCTGAGGTAGGAGGATTGCAAGTTCAAAGCCAGCCTCAGCAGTTTAGCGAGCTGCAGAAAATCAAAAGGATCTGGCTCAGTGGTTAAGTGCCTCTGGGTTCCATCCTCAGTACCAAAACAAGCAATGACAACAACAAAAACCCAAAGAAATCAAGAGCATTCAGGGCAAGGGGAAAACAAATTGGGACAGTCAGTGACCCCACCCAGGAAATGACACTAACCGGGCCACGCAGGGCTGTGCAGGCTGCCACTGGACTGGTGAATGGGGAGCAAGGCTTTTCTTGCTGGCCCCAGACTCAGACATGCTGGCCAGGGCCTCCTGGCCCAAGGCCACCTCTAGTCTTCCTATGGACGCCCTGAGGAGGTGCCTAACAGCACCACATGCTGGCTCTCCCCTGTCCAGGCCTGCCCGTCCTCCCAGGGCGGGGCAGGTGGGTGGGGCAGCCTGGAGGAGAGAGGGAAGTGAGAGCTGGGGCGGGGCTGGCTGGGAGAAGTAGAGAGCAAAGCGGAGCAGCAGGAGCAGGAACAAGGCGAGGTGACAGGGAGTGGCCTTGGGAGTGGGACTGGCTGGGACCCTCTGGGTGAACAGGGAAGGGTGACTTGCAGGGTCTGGAAACAGCCAGGAATGGTGGCCCTGGCCTGTAGCCCTGGCAGGCTTATGCCAGACTCTGGTTCCTACCTGACTGCCTCTCCAAACTGACCTGGGGGATGGGAGCGTCCTGGTGGGCTGTGCCCTAGAGGCAGAGGGAGGAGCCCAGGCTTACCCTGAGTGTGAGAGGTGGTGGAAGACTCCCTAGGGATGCCTGAGACCCCCCAGTGCGAATTCTGTCCCCTTGGGCAGCACCTAGTGCCCTGGAGCAGGACTGTGGGGGGTCTGACCACTGGAGGGGCTCCAGCCAGGCGGGCAGGCCCGGCCTTCTGCTGGAGGCACTTTGGCCAACTCCCTGCGGAGGGCCTGCCTGGGGTCGGAGGAGGAGGTAGAACCTGGGGAGGAGCCCTCCAGGCTGGGGGTCTGGTGTGGTTCTGGAGCAGACCTCCTCTCTGCCCTTATCCAGAAGGACAAGTGCATTGCACACCGAGGGGCAGCCGGGCTGTGAGGGGAAGAGGCCAGTCAGGAGTCTATGGAATTAGGGCCTGAGGAGGGCAAATATCCCACAGGTACCCGGAGGAATGGGGACACTGACGGCTGTCAAGCATTTCCTCAAAGGTGTGCATTAGCTGGGCTCGGTGGCACACGCCTGCAACCCCAGTGGCTCAGGAGGCTGAGGCAGGAGGATAGCAAGTTCAAGGCCTGGGCAATTAGTGAGACTCTGTCTCAAAATAAAAAGGGCCGGGGGTTCAGCTTAGTGGTAGAGTGCTGGCTTAGCATGGGAGTGGCCCTGAGTTCAACCCTCAGTACCTGGGGGGAGACATAGAAGAGGCTGTTTTCCCTAGAGATGCGTTCCCCATCTCCAATGGCATCCAAGAGGGGCTGGTAGAGGATGCTGCAGGGGAGCTCTGTGCTGTGCATGTCTGGGTATGTGTCAGGAGGCAGATGTGGGGCTGGACTGAACTAGATGAGCATTAGGGCTCCTTCTCACGCTGGGTCTGTGATTCAATGACATCCCGCCCAGGGGAGGTTTGAGGTTTCCTTGGGCATGGTGGCCCTCTACCTCACTACGCCCTGCAGCTGGACGCAGAAGCCTGGGCTGTTCCTTGGGTTTGTGCTCCCCTTCCTGCCTGTGCTGAGCCCTAGCACAGGCCTTGAAGGAGTGGAACACAGTGGACAGCCACAGGCTGCTTGGGGGACACGCAGAGAGAGGCATGAGAGTGCCCTTTGCTTAGGCGGAGACGTGGAGTAGTCAGGTCTTGCTGCAGGGCCACCTGCAGTGGGGCCTGGAGCTTTCCTCCCAGGTGGGAGGCCTGGGGGAACTCCTGGGGAGGCTGAGGTGGAGGATCTGGAACCCTTAATGTGGGCCTGGGATGCTGGGCTCTGATGGGTGTGAGGCTGGAGGCACACATGGAGGAGGCCGAGGAGCTGTGGGTGCCAGCGACTGGCAGGAGGGGAAAAGAGGGAAGGACCAGAGGTTGGGTTGGTCCCTCCTGAGAGAGCCTGGGGCGAGGTGGGGGACAGGGATCTGACGGGGCAGCCCAGGCTCTACCCAGGGAGCCTGCTTGTAGCTGGCCAAGTCTGGGGCCAGGTATTGGGAGTTTACAAAAATCCTGGTATGTCAAGGGTGACTCTGCTCCAGACAGAGTCCACAGCAGCACGGGGTGACTTCAGCATGCGGTCAGCATGTGGATGCGCAACCTCACTGCAGAGCAAAGGAGCGAGGCCTCAGGCCTGCGGCCCGTAGGGGACCGCTTACTCACGGAGACCAGTTAAAGCCACCCAGGGATCACCTTATTGGCCTGTCCAGGGTACAGGACCACAGTGACAGGGTCGTGCAGCAGGTGGGAGAGACCGGGCTCATTCTGAATGCAGCGTGGGCGGAAGCTAAGGAGCAGGGCAAGGGCCAGGGATGGCAGATGATTCCAGGGGAACAGCAGGGCAGGGTTCTGTCTAACCGACCCTCAGAGACTTGTTGAAGACCAGCCAGGCTGACCCTGACCCGAGGCCCCTGGGGGGAGGCAGAGGATGTAGCCCTGATGACGCTGAATGTGGCTGGATGTGGAGGATGGCTTCTGGTGAAGCTTGCTGGTCGGGTCCTTTGCTAACCCTGGGGTTCACAGGGAGACACAGGGGAGGTTCCCCAAAGCGTTGTCAGCACGTACTTTATTTAAAAAAATTTTTGTTTTAGTATTTTTCCTTTTTTGCAGTGCCAGGCATTAAACCCAAGGCCTCACGCATGCCAGGCAATGCTTTATCACTGAGTGCAGCACCAGCCCCGCACCTACCTTCTATAGGACCCCAAGGCCACTCGCCCTGCTGTGGGGGCTCACGGCCTGGACAGGTAGCCTGCTTGTTTGAGCTTTGAGTTCTCGTAGCACAGAATCCAGACTAGGGAAGCCCACAGCTTCTGACCGCACTCCTTCCTTGAGCTCTCCCTGCTGGTGACTCAGCCAGGGCCTGTGGGCATAGCATGTGACCCTTTGTGAGACCCAGAAGCAACTCCCCTCCCTTCCTCTCCTCCTGGGATGCCAAAGAACGCCTCTGCTATTCTGTAGCTGCTGGTGGAAAAGGAAAGGCGTGGTTTTCAGGCACTGCACACCCATCACCCTGCTCTCACCCGCCCTGGTGCCTGCTCAGAACGCCCCTGCTCGCCTGGCCTCCATTCAGTGGCTCCAGGATCCTCCCAGTGATGCCCCTTGGCTTCTCAGCTGGTTCCCTTCGCCCTGACTCTGGCTAGAGGGAGGCCCCTTGCAAAGCTGAGCTGGGTGGGCACATGGTGTGTGTTGTGTGGAGTGCCGCAATGTGGGAAGAAACCAGCTGTCGCCACCCATTTTCTGGACCTTAAAGATGATGATGAGTTTTTAAAATGCCTGCTTTTTGTATTCTCCCCACAATCTGTGCCATGGGTCGTCCCTCCTGACCCATGCAATAGAGATGGGTGCTTCATGCCAGCACTGAAGGGAGCTGGGCACACAGTGATGCCAGGGACCAGGCTGGGGAGCCGCTGAGGGCAGGGAGTAGTTAGGCAGCCTCTAAGGACATTTAGTAAGGCTTCACTTTGCTGTGTTTGGTAGGTGCCTTTCAGCCCCAGCTCGGGCCGTCTGTTTCTCCTTGAGTTCTCACTCTGTACCTTCCAGGATGCTTGTTCATTGTTCACGTGAGACAGTGAATGCACTGACATAAAACTTCTGAAATCCTTCAGTTGTCATTTGAATATCTACAGAACCTACAGTGACTTCGAGGCAGGTTAGAAGAAATAAGAAGTAGGAGAGACAAGGAGAAGGACAAGGAAGGACAATGCTGATCTGAGGTCCCATGCACCTGTCCAGCCCTCTCACTTCTCAAGCTCAGTCTTCCCAGACCCGTCTCTCCCACCTTTATGGGAAACCTGAGCATCTTAGAGTTATTGCAAACCTACCCCCTCTTGGGAAAATTACCTGTGAACTTTGATTAGTTTATAAAATGAATAGATTAAGCAAGGGGAGGTATAGTTTTTTTTTAATGCAGTACTAGTGATTGAACCCTCTGATGCTCTGTCTACCAGGGCTACATCCCCAGGGTCTTGAGACAGGGTCTTGCTAAATTGCTGAGGCTGGTCTTGAACTTGTGAGCCTCCTGCTTCAGCCTCCAGAGTTGCTGGGATTACAGGCGTGTGCCACTGCACCCGGCTGCTTTTATTTTTATTATTTAATTCCTTCTGATTGTTTTGGGTTTCATTTGCTTGTCCTTTTCATTTTGGGCTTTTTTTTTTTTTGATACCAAGGATTGAACTCAGGGGCACTTGACCACTGAGCCACATCCCAGCCCTATTTTGTATTTTATTTAGAGACAGGGGCTCACTGAGTTGCTGAGTGCCTCGATGTTGCTGAGGCTGGCTTTGAACTTGCAATCCTCCTGCCTCAGCCTCCCGGGCTGCTGGGATCATAGGCATGCACCGCTGCGCCCATCTGTCCTTTTCTTTTTATGGTGGAAGCTGAAGCCATTGGCTTTTGGCTTTTCTAATGGCAGTTTCTGCTTAGAGAGCTGCCTCCCAATCTTGGTTATCGGGGTATGAGTGGAAGGCAGGTGTGGCTGAGAGGTCAGACAGTTGGGACACCTGGCCAGGTGCAGAGATCTGGTCTCCACAAGCCATGCACAGCTGAGTGACCATGTGTGACCTTGGACTTTGACTCTCCACCTGCTTTTCTTTGCCTGTGTAATGGAACCAGGGGCAATCCCCTCTTGGGCTCCTGTAAGTGAAGTAGTTGAATATACCTGGCCACCTGGCAGGGCCTTCCAGACCCATATGTGAGGGCCCTTGAGTCCCTGTGACAAGGATACTCTGTCTTGCAGGTCCGGAGACAGCATGTTCACGCCCATCCCCAAGAGGTAGGCAGCCACTCACCCTCCCCTCCCAGCACTTCCAGGGCTGCCCACTCCCTGAGCCATCATCCACTCCTCCAGTCCTGGGCACCAACCTTCTCCCTCCCCGCAGTGGCTCTCCATTCCCGGCCTCCGTGCGGGATCCTGGCCTGCACGTGTGGCGGGTGGAGAAGCTGAAGCCGGTGCCTGTGGCGCGCGAGACCCAGGGCGTCTTTTTCTCGGGGGACTCCTACCTGGTGCTGTACAACGGCCCGGAAGAGCTCTCTCATCTCCACCTGTGGATAGGTATGGGGCAGGGTGGTGGGGTCTCGCTCAGGGTGAGGGCTGGCATGGGCCTCGGGGACCTTGCCCTTCCACCTCCCTCCTGCCCCAGGCCAGCAGTCTTCCCGGGACGAGCAGGGGGCCTGCGCTGTGCTGGCCGTCCACCTCAACACCCTGCTGGGGGAGCGGCCCGTGCAGCACCGGGAGGTGCAGGGCAACGAGTCTGACCTCTTCATGAGCTACTTCCCGCGGGGCCTCAAGTACCAGGTCAGGGCAGCTCCAGCCCGTGTCCCCGCTTCCTGCCTGTCTCCTGCGGGTGGGGTGCAGAGCCCTGGTAGCTCAGGCACATGAAGGGGTCCCTTCTGGGCTGCAGGAAGGTGGTGTGGAGTCAGCATTCCACAAGACCTCCCCTGGGACGGCCCCGGCAGCCATCAGGAAGCTGTACCAGGTGAAGGGGAAGAAGAACATCCGGGCCACGGAGCGGGCGCTGAGCTGGGACAGCTTCAACACCGGGGACTGCTTCATCCTGGACCTGGGCCAGGTGGGTGGCCGAGGCTGGGCAAGGAATGAGGCCATACCCCACTCCCAGTGGACCCTCCACCAGGGAGTGCCATCCCAAGCCCAGCCCTTGGGGTTGTCTCCAGGGCCACGGCCACCAGAGCCCCGTGGCTCTGACCTGTGTAAGATGGCCTCTATGTGGACTCAGGCACTTCACTGTGTACTTGGTCCCCTCCAGGTGACCACAACACCTCCTGGGTGAGTGCTGGAGAGGTAGGGAGTAACGGCAGGGAGCACAGACACAATGTGTCCGAGTATTTCTGATCCTTGGTCGAATCTGGTTGCACCCACATTAGAGGGCCACTGTGGGCAGAGCCGGCCTCTGGCGGTGTTCCCAGGCTCTGAGTCCACTCCCTCCCTCTCAGGAGCCCTGGTGGCCTGGGCTACTTGCCTGCCGGCCTCTCATGCATTGAGTCCAGGATGCTCCTCTGGGCCAGCATGGAGGCCTGGGGAGGCAGCCAAGATGGCCTGTCTCCATCCTAGCCCATGCAGCAGTGAGTGGGGCATAGGCCAGGGGCTGGGCTCTCAGGCAGGGAGGGACCACCAACCTGCCATCCCAGGGAGGAGCCAAAGATGGACCTTCAGGGGAGGGAGCAGGTGAGCAGGGCTGGGGAGGGGAAGGGGCATGGTCCTGGAGTGCAGGTGGCTAAGGAAGGCCTTGAGGACACTGCTTTGGGGCTGGAGGATGGCTGAAGATTAGGCAGGAGGGTCAACCTTGCTGTTCTCAGGAAGGGCGGTGGTGGTGAGAAGAGGCAGGGGCACAAGGACAGGCCTTGTACCAAGTGGCAGTTCAGGAGAGGAGACGGGGGAGGGGAAACAGCTCTAGGGTGGCATCCCCACTTCCCCGCAGCCTCCCCCCACCCCGCCAGTTCAGCACACATCTGTATTGTGCCTAACTATGTGCCAGCTCAGCTTTGGCGAGGGCACAGGGCAGGGAGCAAATCCGTCAGGCTCACTTCCTAGAGCGAGAGGCTGGCTCTAATGAGGTAAAGAGGTGACATGGGCAGGAATACGCACAGCCTTCCTCTAAGGCCTCTGGGGTCTGTCCCTGCCTTCTGTCACACCTCCAGGGTCAGTCCTCCAAGAAGAACAGGGGAGGCAGGACCCTTCTGGGCTGGGGCAGGACTCGGCCGCTGGCTGTGACCGGGCTGCTCCCTTCCCTGCAGAGCATCTTTGCCTGGTGTGGTGGGAGGTCCAACATCCTGGAGCGCAACAAGGCCCGGGACCTGGCCCTGGCCATCCGGGACAGCGAGCGGCAGGGCAAGGCCCAAGTGGAGATCGTCACCGATGGGGAGGAGCCTGCTGAGATGATCCAGGTTGGAGGACACTGGCGTGGGCAGCTGGGCGCCCTGCTTAGAAGTGGTCAAGAGAGTCAGTGATGAGCTGGGATGCGAGGGTGGCTGGGCCAGGGTACAGGCATCTCTGTGACGGAGGAGCAGGCAGCCTGGCTGGTGGGTGGGTTGTGCTCACTCTCCCTAGTGCCTTGGTGCAGGACATGGTGAGCCAGACAAGAGGGGTGGCCCTGAGCATGACGGCTTTAAAGTTTGGGGGCAGGAATTCCAGTATACCTGGCCTGCTCTGGCTCTGCAGGTTCTGGGCCCCAAGCCTACTCTGAAGGAGGGGAACCCTGAAGAAGACCTCACAGCTGACCAGACGAATGCCCAGGCCGCGGCTCTCTACAAGGTGGGCACTCCAGGCCTTGTGCAGCAGCCGCAGGGCCAGGGCTGAAGAGAGAGGAGCGGCTCAGAGGGCAGGAGGATGGGAAGTGGGGGGTGGCAATCCCCAAGGACATAACTGTTATTTCACTTCGGGGCCCTTCCTGGTGAAGTTCAGAAGCTAGTTCCAAGCGTCCTCTGTTGAACTCCTCTGATGGGTCACCGGGCAGTGCCCAGCAGTACCGAGGTGGAGGGCAGGGGTGGGGGCTGCCTTGGCCAGGGCAAGGCTCTGGGGAGCAGCAGAGAGGGCCCTGGCCCTCTCTGGGCTGAGACGAGGGCTGGTGCTCGGGGAAGTCAGACTCAGCGTGCCCTTCCTCCCTCAGGTCTCTGATGCCACTGGACAGATGGACCTGACCAAGGTGGCCGACTCCAGCCCCTTTGCCCCTGAGCTGCTGGTGCCCGACGACTGCTTCGTGCTGGACAACGGGCTCTGTGGCAAGATCTACATCTGGAAGGGTATGCGGGGCTCCTCCACAGCCGCCTGGGCCCTGTAGCTGCCCTGGCCCAGGCAGGCACCCATGGCCACTGCTCTGAAGCTTCAGCCCCCTGCAGTCGCTGAGGGCCTGCTCAGACGTGTTGCTGGGTCCTGCCCCAGAGATTCAGGCTCGCTAGGCCTGGGGGCAGCTACCACTCCTGGGAACCACTCTTTTAGCCCCTTCCTTGGCCTTCAGGGCTTGGAGACCCCAATCTTGGACTCTGCCTCAAGGTGTGACAGGTAAATTCTAGATAAATTACACATCACCTTATGCAATGGGTGGTGAACTCGCAGAACTTGTTTCCCAAGAGATGGTATTGGCTGGAGGGAGACTGCTGTGCTCAGCCGTCCTGTCCTGCCGGCTCTGGCCCTCAGGCCCTGGACCCTGGCTTTGCTTTCTGGAGCCTGTTTCACCTCCCTGACCAGCTGACAAGCATCTCAAAGGCAGGAACTGTGTTTATCTGATGGTCTTGATGAGATAGCTACAGGGTTAACAAGATGTGGAACTTGCCAGCCCCCAGCCTGGTCAGGAAGAGAAGTGAGGCGTCCAGAGATGGCGGCTCCCAGGGGCTCATACTGCGGCCTCCCAAATCCAGCAGAGACCTGGGATAGGGGCCTGGAGGTGCTGGCAGCATGGTTGATCTCTAAGGTTTGGGGAGGGGACGAGAGAGGCTCCTGCTGGGGCTGCTTTTGCCCTCCCTGGAGGGGACGTGCCCCGCAGCACTGATGCCAAGCATAGGAACCTCAAGCAAAGAATTATTACAGAAAGAGAATCCAGAGGAGAAACGGGGAGTTTGAGAACCAGGAAGATGGGTGCCTGTGGGTCGGGTGCGGCTGGTGTGTTCACAGGGAGTTGAAGCATGTCGTTCAGATATGCTGTAGTTCACGGGGTCCCCACAGCCTGGCTGCAGAGCCAGCCACTGTTCCCAGCACTATTTCTTTGGGAAAAATGCCTTGAACTGGAGCACAGGTTGGGTTTAAGGACTGTCTGCAGAAATGGGTGGATTCTGCGTGGTTTATTTTGATGAGCACTCCAGTAGCATAACCATTATGCCAGTGGAGACTCGCTGGCATTATAGGAGTCTGTTCTCCATAATAAATTGTCCCTTTTGTTCTCAGTTTGTCAAGAAGGCTTGAGTTGGGCACGGTGGCCACGCCTGTATTAAAGCAATTTGGAAGGCTGAGACAGGAGAATCGCAAGTTCAAGGCCAGCCTGGGCAACTTGGTGAAGCCCTGTCTCAAAATACAAAATAAGGGCTGGGGATATGGTTCAGTTGGTAGAGTGCTTCCCTCGCATGCACAAGGTCCTGGATCAATCCCCAGCACCACCACAAATAAATAACGGCTGGGGATATGGTTCAGTGATAAAGTGCCCCAGGTTCAGTCCTCAGTACAAAGAAAAGAAAAGGCTTGCTAACCATACAATTGACAGGCACAATAGGTGAGGGTCCTGCCCCTACAGTTTGATGGAGAGAGAAAACCCATTCTTCCTGATGAAGGGCCCTGGTCAGAGCAGAAGATAGTTTGTGCTGCTGGAGATGGAATCCATGTGGTCAAGTGCTCCAGAGTGAGTTTTGATGGTCAGACCTGGCAGAAGTAGTTTTCATTTACCTTTGAGATGCCAGTTTAGAAAAAGTATTATGAGGCAGATTTCATACTTCCAAAGAGCTATTTGGCATTCTCATTAACAAAAATTTGATAACTATTCTGTGGACCCCTGTTAAATTTCCTCAAGAAAAATGGGATGGAAACTCTAAAGGATCTCTGTTCTTCACTCTTCCTGTGCTGCAGGGCGAAAGGCTAACGAGAAGGAGCGGCAGGCGGCCCTGCACGTAGCGGAAGGCTTCATCTCCCGCATGCAGTATGCTGCAAACACTCAGGTGAGGAGGCACCTTGGGCCCCAGGCCCCACTCCTGGGCCTCCTTGTCCAGTGTGGCTGGCCTGTGCTCCCTGGGACCACTGTCCTTGGCTGTGACTGCCCCTGGTAGCCTATTGTTCTGATAGGGCTCATGGATAACAGGTGGCCTCTGCCAAACTGCACTGGTCCTTGAAGCAGGGCTTTCTCAGCCCGGTCCCTGTAACCCGTCTCCTCTCTCTGCGTATCTGAAGGAGCTGCCTGGCCTGGCCTGGCCTGCATGTGCTTGGGCCTTCTGTCCCACACCCTGTTAGTGACAGAGGTGGCAGCTTCCAAGCCAGCCTTCTCCCCACTGTCCTGCAGGTGGAGATTCTGCCCCAGGGCCGCGAGAGTCCCATCTTCAAGCAATTCTTTAAGGACTGGAAGTGAGGGTGGGCGTCCCCCTGCCCCTGCCTGCCTTTGTGTGCTCAGTGTTGAGAAGCCCCGCTGACTTCAATAAAGGAAACCAGTGCCTTCCCCACTCTCCCACTGCCTGCCTGGGTGGGTTTTCATTGTCCCTCCAGACGCTTCACAGTCCCTAGGGCCATGGAGGCAAGGGGGACTAGAGGTGGCTTGGGTCCTGCTGGCTGATGGCCCACGGTGGGGCTGAGAGATAAGCATCATTCTGGTCTGGGCGTCTGCCTCTCTTGCTCCTGGGCAAGGTGCCCCTCTTGTCTTCACCCCGCTTCCTTCTCCTGTGTGTGGTGTGGGGGAGAGACAGCAAAGGGAGGAGCGCCAAGGGGCAGAGGGGTGCTACAGCAGGTGTGGCCTGGACAAGCCTGCAGCCCTGAGGCCAGGCAGGGCTGCGTCCTGAGGCAGTGGTGCTCCCAGCTCCAAAGCTGATCAATTCTTCTTGCTGATTTTGTGCCACACAGCACTAAAAAACCAGCTGCCTTTTGCAGATCCCCACATCCTCCCATCCTTGACCTGACAGGATGAAAGAGCTGGTGCCAGGCACAGCTTTGAAAGGCGAGAGGCCAGCACGCACACAGTGGCTCTGGCAATGGTTTTAGATTTACGGAGTACTGCAAGTCCCCATGGAGGGCAAGGACATTCCCCAAGGAAAACGCACAGGTTAAGATTTCTGCATCTCCTGTCAAAGGGTTCATTCCCCTCTGGCAGCCCTGTACCTTAACAGCTCCTGGACTACACCACTGGCCACTGCCGAAGGTTTGAGAGAAGCAGCCATGAGCACTGTGGTCTGAGGAGCCTCAAGCAGGCCATGAGGGGGAGGAAAGACCACTGCTGCTCCTGAGGGGACAGCTGCTCCCCTTCAGCCAGAGCCCTGGAATGCAGCCTAGCCCCCACAGGTGGGGCCCATGTTCCTAGTGGGCCTTCAGGTGACGGGAGGGAAGGAGGACACCTGACTGAGGCTCCTGCAACGTGGCCCAGGTGCAGCTCTCCTCCCTTCCAAGCCCACTGTGCCCGCATCCCCCTCTGCTGGTCTGAGGGCGCTGCTGCAGGAATTCACAGAACAAAGCCTTGTTTAAGTCCAGCAAAGGTGACATGAGGCAGATGGCAGGGCTTGTCACCAGCCACACTTGGGGGAGTTCCCTTCTGCATCTGGAAGGCCATCTGTCATCCTCACCTCTGGAATGGGTCCCACCTGCAGTGTGTTAGGCCTGGAGGAAGGATGGAGGCATGGAGGGGGCTCTTACCTGCCCCCACCCCCAGCTCGGCTGCTGGCCTGGAGCTGTGAGGGGAGCAACAGAGCCAGGCTTGTCCAGAAGCAAATGCAGGACACCATGCCAGTCTACCCTGATAAGACCCAGGGCCACCATGTCCACTGGCCAGAGCTCGCACCTGCAGCCAGTGAGGATGGGCCTGGCAGGAGCTCAGTGCCGAGTCTGGCCAGGGCACAGACAGCTGCTCCTTCTTGGGCCACGTGCTTCCACCTGCAGGGCTCTAACTGGGACCTGGGACAAGGCACAGGAAGGCCCTGAAAGACGGGTCCTGGAAGGATACGGTGGGGACCAGACCCTCCAACTGGAGCAACTGCTTTATTCTAGAAGTGCTGGTGTGTGAGCAAATTCCTCCTTCCTCGCTCAGGACAGAAAACCATCATGAGGAAGCGTACAGTCTCCCAGGACAAGCCCCTAGCTGGTGGGCAGCTGGGATGGGGCAGCCGGGGCCACCAGCCCAATGCCCATCTCTAGACCACAAACTGAGAGGGGAGGGGAGGCCTGGGGAGGAGCTGTGCCAGATGCCAGTGCTGCCCCCTGCTGGCTGTCATCGCTGCTCCTCCCCCTGGGATTTGACCCAGAGGTAGGGCCCAATGCTGCCAGGGAACCAGAGCTCCAGCTGTCTCCACCTGGCAAGCTCCTGTGCTGTGGAGGAGCATGGCACCCAAGATGGGCTGCTGCGCCTTGCACCACTCACTGCCACGGATGCTGGGATGCAGCCCTGGGGGCGGAGCACGGGTGGGACGGCAGGACTCTACTTGCTCCGGAGGCAGGTCTGCAGGGAGCAGTCAGGTCTAGTTGCCTGGAGCGGAGCATCTCGCACTGGTGAGGGTACCCAGGCCCAGGAGCTTCCCACCTCATTTGCCGAGGCAGGAAAGCGCCTGGCCTGGCCAGGGGGCTCTAGACGTGGTTTGCCATGTGTCCTTGGAAGCCTGGTGGCCCAGGCTGGGAGTCTTTCTATCAGCTGGTCTCTGGGAGGCTCAGATCAGCCCTGCACCCTCAGAAGAGTGGGGCTGCAGGTCACACACACCTGTGAAGGTGAGATCTGAGGCGCGAGGGGCTTGTGGCCCAGGGTACTTCTGTGCCAACAAGGAGGCCTGTCCCTTTGATGCCCGGGCCAGGTAGCTCTCCAGGGTCTTGAGCAGCCGCCGTGGGCTCTTCTTGGCCAACGCTTCCAAATCTGGAGGAGAGGATTGGGGAAAAGAAAGCTCAAGGAGCTCTGGGTACCCAACAGCCAGGGCGTTGAGCCTAGCAGCTCCAGTGAGCACTCCTAACCCCTGGGCCAGGGAGGCCAACGTGAAAGACCACCTAGGACGGAGAGTACCAAGAGAGCCCAGGCCCATGTGCTGCCTTATCCAGCTGGTCTTAGCTCTCAAGAGTCAGTCCCTTGCTGGACCCTTGGTTCCCATGTTTGATTCAGAAAATGTGACCCCCAGAGGCATATGGCCAGGAAGGAAGGGAGTGGTGGCATAGAACTCAGAGCAGCAGGCCCTGGAGGGTGGCTGCTGTGTGGGGGCAGGAGAGGGAGCTGCAGCCTGGAGCAGAAACCACCAGGGTCTCTGGACCTGAGACATGGTTCAGGGGCTGCAGCTCCCCAGGACAAAGAGCACACCTTTGAGAACAAAGCCAGAGTCTGAGATGGTCTTCTGCTGGGTCCTCCAGACGTGGGCGAGGCGGAGGAAAGTGGCAGCATAGAAGCTGTTCACCACGGCAATGACCTTTTGCTGCCGGTTACACTCCCTACGGGAACAGGGAGGTAGCCAGTTAAGCCACAGACGAAGGTAGACACCCAGGCACCCTCCCGTCCTCCCTCCAGGGAGCCCTAGAGGAGCCAGCCAAACCCAGAGTTCCCACTGGTCTCGAGGCGGCTCTGCCCCTGGGCCAAGTCGGGGAGCAGAGGTGGCTGGAGACTGGTGCACAGGGACTCTGCCCAGGCTCTCCAGGACTAGCAGGGTCACACTAACCAGCTGCAGCTGGGCCTCACCTGGAGAGACACTCCTCCCTCAAGGCCTGGATGGCGATGCGGGTGACGTTCACAGACATCAAACAGAAAGGAAACTGCTGGAATGGAGGGGCAGCGGGTCAGTGGCTGCCCAGCCTCACCCTGTTTTACCCTGAGCCCAGCTTGGCCAGAGGCAGTCAGAGGCTGAGGTGGCTGCTCATGCTGTCGTCCCATCTTACAGGTGAGAACACTGAGGTCAGTGGCTCTGAGCGGCTCTCCTAAGGCAGGGAACCAGGGTTCCACTGAGGTTATGTGCTCCGTAGCTGGGGTGTGCTCAGTGGCAGAGCATTTGCCTAGCCAGCAAGAGGCCCAGGCTGCTACCCCAGCACAGCACACACAGAAAGAACACTGAACAAAGGCTGTAGTTCAGCTAATACTTTCTTAGTTTTGATAACGGTTCTAGGACTATACAAGGTTATTTCTAGCGGATGGTAAGAGAAAGATATATGGGAACTCTGGGTTAGTTTTTCAATTTCTAAGTCTAAAATTATTTCAAAATAAAAATTAAAGTGCATTATTTAGACTTGGCCTCTTTAAGACAATGTGACCCGATGGCTAAGGGTGTGTGGGGTCCCAACAGCTCCCTTCATTCCAACACAGCTTTGCTGCCCTACCTAGTTATTTATTTACTTATTGTACTGGGGATAGAACCGGGTGGCACTTTACCACTAAGCTATATTCCCAGCCTTTTTTGAGATTTTGAGACAGGGTCTTGCTAAAATTCTGAGACTGGCCTTGAACTTGAGGTCTTCCTGCCTCAGCCTCCTGAACTGTGGGAAATCACAGGTGTACATCACCATGCCTGGCCACCTACATATCCTGAATGTATTGAGGCCAAGCTCGTCTTCGCACCTCTGCTTGCAGTGGCCATACACCTCTCCCCAGACCCTCAGGTCACAACTGGTTTTCTGGACCCCAGCCCCACGAGCCTCTGCTAAGCCTTGGTTGGTCCACACCTCTCACCCTTCCTCAACTCCCCAAATCCTGCCACCGTGTCCCTGGCAGAACAGTAGTGCTCCGTGCTCCCTACTCCAGCATGCCGCTGCTGCGCATTAACAGCGTGCTGTGTTCCCACACTCACTGACTCGCGGACCTGGCTGTGTGCCCACAGTGCTGCTGTCGCGGGTGTGGAGGGGAGGCACCTCTGCTCTGCAGACCCTTGTACATGCTCCTCCCACAGCCCCCAACTTTCATTGCCACGTCATCAGATGATATTGCCCACTTGCAAATTTCAAGTATTTGGACTTATGTGAAAATAAAAACTACTGAAAAGTATCCTTCCCATTACCATGCCTTGTTTGCTCCCTTTTGTGACAAAATTTCTTGAAAGAGTTGTCTAATTTACCATCTCCAATTTATCCCTCCAATTCCCTCTTACACCCAATCTAAAGCAAGGTCTTTTGTGTCTAACCTTCATTGAAAATGCTCACACCAAGGTCCCCGGGGACAAACCCAGATACTGCAGATGCTCCTCTCCGTAGTCGGCACCATCAGCCCAGGTGGCTCAGGCCTGCTCCACTTGGCTTCCAGAGTGGCACCCATCCCTGGGCTCCTGTCCTGCTTTCATCCCGCGCTGCCCACTCATGCTGCAGTGGCTTAGGCTGCCTCACCCCGACAACCACCTTCATTGGAGGTTCCCAGGATTGGAGGTTCCCAGGGGTTCCCAGGATCCCTCGCACACGGTGTCCTGCACACGGGGTCCTGGCCCCCTCAAGAGTTTCTGATTCCTGAGGTCTGGGGAGGACGCAGAAGGTCCATTTCTAACAAGTCCCAGGAAGGCTGATGGAGGGCACCTCTGGAGC